TCTGGTTCATTTGCTATCAGTGGAATTGAGTAGCAAGCTTCATTCAGCATTGAATTTCCTTTATTCCTTTCAACCTGCCCAGAATGAGGCACAGACAAATATTATCCTTGCAGGGCACTCCAGATAGATTTGTAGATTATATGGCCACGAGGGACCCTGTTCTGACGTCCTGCTTCGCACAGGTTGTAGGACCTCCCGTGAATAATTCCTGCTTGAATTAGAGCAGATCTTTGAGAGAAAAACATCCCATCTTGATTGCCTGTTGTCAGGACTGTTCCCCACTCTGACACTTCAAGTGCAGAAGGTGGGGGCTACAAAAGACCTTAAAAGTAATTGCCGCTAAAGGCTGCCATAGAACTCCTCAAGGTTAAAGATTCCCTGGCCGTGCACTGTTATCGCTGCCACCACCCAACTGCAAAAACATCTCTGAGAACCCAGGAAAGCGCACTTGGGAATTCCTTCCTGTGAGGTGACCTCAAGCTCTTTTGATCCGTCCCCTGGAGAGAGCTTGAAAAAAAACAGTTGTTGAAACCAGCTATCAAATCCCTCCTCACTCTCCTCTTCTGCAGACTAAAGGATCCCAGTTCCCTCAGCCTCTCCTCATATGTCGTGTGCCCCAGTCCCCTAATCATTTTCATTGCCCTCCGCTGGACTCTCTCCAATTTGTCCACATTTAGACCATTGGAAGTTGTTTGACCTAGTTCAACATGACATTCAGATTAACAAACTAGCACCAGACAGTGTCATTGGAGCACTCATTAGATGGAGTGAGAACTGGCTAACTGATAGATCTCAGCTAGGAGATGTCCATGGGCAATCATTGTCTAGTGGGTTTTTTCCTCATACTTCACTAAGGTCCTGAAGAACCTAACTCCCACTGATGTGTGTCTCTAGGAGTCCGACTGATGAGAGGAGGCTATTTCTACATGGGACTGTCAGTTGTGAGCCCTCTCCTAGAGCGAGATGCCTAGAACAGGTCAGCACTTTCTTGTGGGAGACCCGAGAGGGACCCAGATCCAAAATCTCTGCTTTACCGTATTTGGAGTAAGGACGTAAACACAGGTCTCCCACATCACATGTGAGCGCCCTGAGTAGCAGGCAAATGAGAATTTCAGTTCAGTCCTCATGATCTCCGGCTGGAGCTGTTCCATTTTGAACAAATAAACTTTTAGTGCATTGTACATACACACATTCCCGAACTGCAAGGCCCCACCCAGAAGGCATGATCTGAGGATGGCTAAGGGATCAGGCTTGCTGGGAAGACGGGCGGGGGAACACCACATTGGAGAACCCCAGCAGAATTGAGGCCTGAGTGACGACTCTGAGCAGCTCATTAGCTATGGGGCAGCGTCAGCACACGGGCTGCTTTGTGAAGGCTACTGGTGGAATCTCCTACATGTTTAGACAGCGGATGAGCCGGGGTTTTGAGAAAGGCAGTGGTGCCTAAATTCAGTATTTTCCTAAGGGCCTTTGCAGATCTAGCCCTGGATGCATTTTGGAAGATGCTTTAGTCCAACAGAAATTAAGGTTCAAAGCCAAGGACGCTGGCTGGCTACACTGGAGAAAAACAATCGACTTCACGGACGTCCACCGCTCACTTTTAAAGGACTCTTTCCTCCCGTCTTTGTAGAAGGAATAGAGTCCCTGAATTAAAACATTTTTTTTGTCTGTTTTTCCCGTCCTCCAGTGGCTCTAATGTCCCAGCTGCTTGCCCTGCTAGAGCCTGGGTAACGCCCCTTGCTTAGGTGGCTAACAGCTCTCGCACCTTCGTGGGACGAAAACATGATGTGATGCTGTATGATTGAATAATGACCAGTTTTATCATTGTTGCTACCACTGTTATACAATTGCAACAAATATTGTACAGAGTATGTCCTGCCAGGTGTCAATGGGAAAGTTACGATTTGCTAAATAGGTTTTTCCTGTTTATATGCAACTAAAGCAGAGTTACACAAGGGGAGGGAAAGCCAAGTGCTCCCAGCCGTCTGTCTGGTACAGCTACTACTCAATGACCTGTTCTCTCTAGCCCCAGTTTTGTTCCCCCAAACATGTGCCCTGCGATTAAAGCTCAGGATGTACTTCTAACTGCCGGGGCAGGGCTGTGCATTTCAGCTGTCTCACACCCACTCAGCAGCCTACGTAACCACCCATTCTGAGTGCTGTTCCTCCTCCACCTCTCCCGTCCACCCACTGTGGTTTGTTGCACACAGTAGCTGTGTCTTGTCTGAATTTGAATTATAAGCTTCTTCGGACACGGGCTGTTTCTCCTTCTGTATTTGCGAAGGGCCCAGCACAAGGGGCGCTGAAGTGGAGCAGGGCCTCTGGAGGTTTCCAAAACACAAATAATGATCATAAATAATCAACATAATAATCCAGGTAAATCAGGGCCTGGCCCCTCCTTTTTACCGGATTGGACAGGAGAATTCGTGCAGTCTCATTTCAGTTCTTAAAAACCCAGGTGCTCAGCGCTGGAGAAAAACTCCGATTAGCCAGACGAGCAGGCAGAGAGTTCAGCTGTGGGAATCCAAGCACCCTCCAGCCGGGGCACTCCTAGAAAGTCTGACTCTGCCTGGAACATTAGATTTCAATTCCACCTGGGAGAGGCTGGGAGGAAATGAACCGAGAGGGAGAGAACAAATCCAATGCAAACACTAATACAGTCTCTATCCAGCCTACAGGGCCCCCCTTGTTCCATGGCAGCGGTGGAGGGAGAGCCAGGCCTCTGTCGGCAGGTCAGGCCCCCTGGCTGCCCTCTATCCACAGGAGTATTCTGTTGGTGTTATTTTTCCTGAGTCTGTTGCCCCAAAGTGACCCCAGTGACTGTGATACGTTGTCAGGTTTCTGAGTGGGAGCGGAAGTGGAGTCCCAGACATCACACCTCACAGGTGTGGGGAGCTCACAACTTCCAGCTAGTTCTGAAAACCTCAGATTCACCTTGAGACGATGGCGAAGGCTCTAGCTCCCTCTTCCAACCTTTCCTCTGCATCCCACCCAATGAACAACCTCTGCCAGAGCGGGAGTCCATTTCCCTCTTGGTGTAATGGAGAGACTGTGGTTAAGGCAGGGCAGTCAGGTCTCCTGGGTTATGTCTCTCATTCTGACACTCAAACTCTGTGTCAATTCATGTTGCCCTGGACAATTCATGTCACCCTGTGCCTCAGTTTACTTATCTGTATAATGGGGATATGTTCATAGTCACTTTCCTTTGTTAAGTGTTTTCAAGATCCTTCAATTAAAAGTGCTGTACAATATGATGATAGTTACTCATGAGAATTACAGATCCCTGATGCCTTAGAGACAGTCCAGTGTGCCTGCAGAAAGTACTTGTGTCTCCCCTCACTCATCATTCTCCAGCTTTGTCTGTCTAATATCTACCCATCCCTCCTAGATATCCATAGGGAATCAGGGCCTATGGAGATCTAGGCATTACCCCTGTTTTCTTCCTAATTAACTATACATTTAAATATACACAAACACACAGACTGAGGACAGAGCCCAAGAGATCTCATCTCCCTTTGAGAGGTCCCTTAATTACTGTTTTCTCCTAAAGCTGGATAAATAGCACAGAAGTGCAGGCAGGCTTGTCTCCACCCTGTTTACATCCAGATAGTGCTTCTCTACTAGAGGCTGAGCGAAACCCCGTGGGATTTCGCAGAGCTATATTATAAACGGTGCATGCCTCTGTGTTAGCTCTCAGCGTGGGATGTTGCTGCAGATGCTGGGGTGAGAGAGGTGTGGGACACAGCTACCTGACGGGGATTCCCAGGGAGGACACTTCCATCTCCGAATTCACAGGTACCCATCTCTTCCTGAGGAGATCACCTGCTAGACAAACCCAGGGCTCTGGCTGTTCCCTGATTTTTATTTGCTGGAAAACTTGGAGGCTATGACTCCTTACTGCAGCAATTATAAGAATCCGTCAGCATGGGCAAGACATCTTCTCTCCTAGCTTCATTCAGGAAGACATCGAATTGTAATGCCTGAATCTTAAAAAAAATAAAATAAACAATTCGGCCATAAGCAGATGCCCAGTGTGGTAAATTTCAATCCAAACGCTTAGAGTTTGGGAAACTCATACACAATTAAAATGAGGACTTCTAATGGAAGGTGTCAGCCACCTAACTAAAGGTGGTGCCACCAGCACCACTTTCAATGGCCAATCCACTTGTGAATCCCATTCAGCTAAGCTCTTTGCTCCAATAATGTCTGTGGCAAGGAGTTCTACAGGCAAAATAGGTATAATGTGAACCATTTTCTGTTATCACTGTGATATGTTCAGACTTTCAATGTAATTGAATGTTCCCTTTGCGTGTGTTATGAGACAGAGTAAATGTAAATGCTTCATCTAGTTACTTTATCAACCAGTTCATAGGGTTCTAGTCCAGAAAGGCCAATGATGTCCAGTCTGACCTCCTGTATAACGCAGACCATTAAATTTCACCTAGTTGGCCATGGATTGGGCTCCATAACTTGTGTTTCACTGAGCTCTCATCTACAGTAGGATTTTACATCATAGAACCACAGAGCCACAGAGTGAGAAGGCTCCACAAGGGTCATGTAGACTAACGGCCTGCCGAGAAGCAGGATTTGTTGCATCCAGGACAGATGACTGTCCAGCCTCCTTTGGAAAACCTCCAGCAAAGGAGCTTCCATGTCCTCCCAAGGCGACTGTTCCATTGCCCTCCTGTTCTGACTCTAAGGAAGTTTTTCCTGAGATTTCATCTAATTCTGCTGTGCTGTAGTTTGATCCCATTGCTTCTTGCCTTGTGCTATGTGGAAAGAGAGAACATTTCTCCATCTCTTTTATGGCACCCTTTCAAGTATTTGAAGACCGCTATCATGTCACACTTTTAATCTCTTCACAATGTTCTTCTCATGAACGTCTCACTTGATCATCTTTTTGATAACAGAAGTAGGTGGAACTCTTTAAGTCTCTCACTGTCAGGCTTTTTGTCCAACCTCAAAGCTTTTTTGTGCCTCTTTTTTGCACTCTCGTCCAATTTTTCCACATCCTATTTAAATGTGAACCCCAGAATTGGATGCAGTTGTTTTGCACCAACACTGTGTGCAGAGCTATAATCCTCCCCCTCTTCCAACCCACCGGTCTCCTGTTTATGCATCCAAGGATCACATCACCCTTTTCACCACAGCATCGCACTGAGAGCTCACAATATGTTGGTCGTCCACAGTGACGCCAAAACCCTACTCAGGCCCTGCTGTTCCGTGATACAATCCCGTAGTCTGGGGGTTGGGCCTGCATTCCCTGTTCCGAGATGATAACTTTTCTTTTGGCTGTATTAAAACGCTCCAGATCAATTGGTATGCCTGCCCTGGCTGCCTCATTGTAACTGCCCTGCCAGTCTTTGGGTCGTCTGGACATTTTATCTGCAGTGATTGTCTATTTCCTTCCAGATCAGTGATCGAAATATTCGATAGCATCTGGCCCTTTTTCATATTTTTGGGGCTCTGCTGCTGCCTGATTGTGTGCTTCTGCTTCCAAACGAGAAGTGTGGTTGTTTGGTCAGTTCGTAACTCTGATGTTCGTTACTCTAAGGTTCCATTATACAAGCTCTTTAACAGCTTCCTTACTGCTAATAGACTGGAAAGTATTTCATCAGCTCATGTGATATGTGTACATCATAACACTGCTTTCCAAATGCAGAACAAAACTATGTCGTGAATACAGCTGCCTTTTCTGCAACTTTAACAAGTTTCTTTTCGCCCACTAGGAATTGGATTAAACCTTTTCTAGGATTTCTTTTTATTTTTCTTCAATGTTTTTTACTCCCCAATCAGTGTTCATACCTTCCAATATGTATTGCTTGCCATCTATTTTCCCTTTATCCCATTAGTTCTATATGGCTTTCCACCCTGTTATTGCTGCCTTCACTTAGCCACTGAACTGGGTTTCTAGCCAAAATTGGGCACTTTTTGATTGTGGAATCGAGGATTGTTAGCTATCTAATGAACTCTTCTTAAAGAACTCCCAATTTTTATTCTCATTTCCCTGTCTGTATTTTTTCCTCTCCATCAGTTTAGCTGATAATTTGCCCCAGCTTTGGGGAATTAGCCCATTTGTAGTAGTAAGTGCCAATAGATATCGCTGGGTGAGAACTGTTCTCTGTTTGTCAATTTTAATATTATCAGTTCCGTTCTTTATTTTTCTCTCATCGATCATATGCTCCCTTCTCTGCCTCTTCTCTAAATTAAATAGTCCCTGACTTTTTATTCTATCCATATATGGCAACCTCCACATTCTCATACCCTGTCACAGAACCCCCCATTTTATTTGCTATATTCTTTATAGAGACTGGGTGACCAAAAGTGAGCGTGTGTCCAGAGCAGGCTATTCTCCACCATATTCCTTTGACATCTGAACATTATCTTTGTTTTAGCCACTGCTGTGAATGAGCAGGTGTTTCCATGGAGCTGCTAGCAAGGATTAACAGTTTTTTTTTCTCTGTGGTGTGTAGCACTTTGGACGTTTCCCCCGGAACATGTCTTGGCAAAGGTTTGGATTTTTTCCCACTCTCAGATTTTGAGCAACTGGGGAAATGGGAAAATCCCTACAGCATAGACCCTCTAGCCTGGGTTTCATTGCATTTCTTGCTGATGCCTATTAATGTTACCCACACCACAATTTGTAGGAATTATTGATGCACGGAACATTATAATATATGGAATAGGCACTAGTAGGGTCAGTTGTTTATAATTAATTTCCCTGAATTATGAAAACACCGTTTATCAGTGTGTGTAGAGTGACAAATCTGCTTCACCCATGAGAACACCTCCAGGAGTTCATGTAGTGTCACATTGTCTCTCCATGCAGGAATTTTGACTGCGATCATCACCCTAGAGCTTGGGCAGATAGGAGACACAGTTCTGCCTCAGAGTTGGACACCTTCTCCCCTACTCCATGTCAGATTCCAACACAACCGACTTCACCAACCCCTCCACCTTCATCCTGCTGGGCATTCCTGGCCTGGAGGTGGCCCATGTCTGGATCTCCATCCCCTTCTGCACCATGTACGTCATAGCCATCTTGGGGAACTTCACCATCCTGTTCATTGTGAAGAGGGAGCCGAGCCTCCATGGGCCCATGTACTATTTCCTCTGTATGCTGGCTGTCTCTGACCTGGTCCTGTCCACATCCATCCTGCCCAACACGCTGAGCATCTTCTGGTTCAATTCCAGGGAGATCGATTTCAGTGCCTGCCTCACCCAGATGTACTTCATTCACTGCTTCTTAACGATGGAGTCTGGGATCTTTGTGGCCATGGCTTTGGATCGCTACGTGGCCATCTGCAATCCCCTGAGACATTCCACCATCCTGACAAACCATGTGGTGGCCAAGATCAGCCTGGCTGTGGTGCTGCGTGGTTGTGTGTTCGCACTGCCTGCTCCCTTCCTGGCAAGGCGGTGGCCGTATTGCAGAACCAACATCATCCCCCACACACACTGTGAGCACATAGCTGTGGTGAAGCTGGCCTGCAACGATACCCGTATCAGTAGTTACTACGGCCTCTTTGTGATATTCTGTGTGAGGGGTGTGGATATGCTTTTTATCACTGTGTCCTACACCCAGATCCTCAGGGCCATCTTCAGCCTCCCCACAAAGGATACTCGGCTCAAGACTTTTGGGACCTGCAGCTCCCACCTCTGTGTCATCTTAGCCTTTTACATCCCATCTCTCTTCTCTCTCCTCATGCAACGGTTTGGCCACAATGTGGCCCTCCATTTCCATGTTCTCATGGCCAACATGTACTCCCTGGTGCCCCCCACGCTAAACCCCATCATCTACGGAGTGAGGACCAGACAGATCAGGGGCAGGCTACTCCGGCTCTTTTCTCATAAAGGGACCTAAATTTTTCTCCTGGTGCTCTGGCTCTCAGACTGAGCTCCATACAGAACTGGCTGGTGACATGTTGCCTGGCTCCCTTACCTGAATCACTGAATGGACAGTCAAAGTGACACTCAATCCTTTCCTGACCACACTATGCTGTGTCGGACTGACAAACTGGGAAATCGTTCTGCGTACAATTGATTAACTCGTAGGGGGGGCATACTTCTAGTTGCTGGTAACTGGACCCGCCCAGTGACCCATCTCTTCCTGTGGGTCACTCACTCTTCCCACCCCCATCTGTTGTTGAATTGTCTCTACCTCACCATACCTTGCTGCAGGGACTTCAGTTCAGATTTTGGGGTGGAGAGGGTAATTTTACTGTGATCGTGATGATAGTTAGGCACTTGCAAACTCTTGTGTCTTGGCAGATAACTTGGCAATCAGGTAAATAGTCGTCAACCTGTTCTTTCTCCACTGAGGGCTGGTCACCTCCTCCCCATACTGTGTTGCCCAGGGCAGCAGTCTGGGAGCTGACCTTGTCTTTGAAGACTGAAGGAAAAAAAGCATTGAGTACTTCAGCTTTTCCCACATCATCTGTCACTATGTTGCCTCCCCCATTCAGTAAGGTTCCCTCACTTTCTCTAACCACCTTCTTGTTGCTAA